CAAAGATGCACAGTGGAAAAGAGAGTTCCTACAGGACCTTGGCAATTGCAGACCTTGGGTAATCAAGGGTAGCAGTGGAAGGAGTAGATTAGTGACAGAGTTGTCCTGGGAAGGCAAGATGTTTGGAAGTTTCACCGAGAAGGAGGTGGAAATCGTAAAAGCGTGGATAGACGAACTTGGCTTGCCTATTCAGAGCCCAGAGTCAGATCCAAACGCATATTTTGAGTTCACAGGACGGTCTTTTAGTCCTCTAGTGGAACCGATGACACGGCATCTGGACATCCTTGTCGACTACCCAGTCCTTGCGACGCCTGAGCCGGACACTCCTTTCAAGAACACCAACGCCAACGATCTGAACATCGATGATGCACCGACTCTTGATCTCAGTAGGCTCAACATCTCCAATTTCCTCCCTTTGTGGTTCACATCACCTACTCTACTCGAAACGCTCCCTGCCGTACCTGTCCGAGCTGCCGACGAATTCGGCTCTGCCATCGTACGCGTACTTCGCGCTCAGACTGGATTCAGTGCTGAAGGCCCCGGTGTAGCCGGCATGGACGAAGTTCACCGTACTGACGACGGTCAAGCTATTGGCCTGGTTGAAGTTGGCCTGGAAATGTGCCGTAGCGCAGGCATGAGGATACCCTCGAGCTTGGAGGAGGCAGTCGCTATGGGCAATGATGAATCAGTTTCTTTCTCGCAGTGGATGGTTTGGATGGGTATGCGATGGCTGACCCACCAGGATCTACTCGTGGGTATGACCTGGGCATTCATGGAGGTGCATGAAGCAATTGCCAGAGGTCAGGGAGACATGGCGTTGTTGTGTGAGGAGAGTCGGTGCGTGCTGCAGGAAATCGTCATCAGGGAGAGAACAGGCTTGGATATCTGCAAAGAAGAGATATTCCAGGACCAGAAACGTAAGCAGGAGTTTTGCACGGGACTTTGCATAGCGAGAAGAGCGATTCAAGCATGTTTCACGAAGTAGCAATCGTAGATAGAAATAGGGATCTAAAGATGCCCTGTAAATTCATTTGTTGCTAAAAGAGACCCTCTGGGTCAAAGAAAAAGAAGAGAAATCAAACTGGCCATCTATATACATCGTCCAGCTCAAATGTATGTACAACGAAAGACTTTTAGCAAGTCAAGTAGTCCCACTCTACTTCTTGAGGGTGAGGAGACCGGGCCTGTAGGGGAGACGGTCGTAGTCACCACCGGAGTTGGGGTTGCGGCCCTGGTACAACAACTGCAGGTTGCAAGGGTCGACAGTCATGGTCTGGTCGTTGGTAACCTTGACCAAGTCACCGTGAGAGATGTCGTTGGTCCAGGTAGCACCGCTGTTGGCCTTGCCGGCGAAGGGGTTGTTCTCGGTAGCAGCGTTGGGGGTCCAGTTGCCGCCGAGGCTGGAGGCAGTGAAAGAGCGGAAGTAACGTCCCTGAGAACCAACAGCCTCAACAATCATGAGGTACTTGGCGGTGGTTCCTCCCTTGACGGTGTAGACCTGGACAGCCTCGAAGAGGTTGTTGGTGCTGTCGCTCATGACGACGGTGGAGGCGGTGCCGAAGTCGCCTGGGAAGTTGCCAATGGGCATGCTAGCACGGTAGATCTTGCCGTTGTCACCCGCGAAGAACAGGTACATGTTCTTGTCGTCACCGATAACGGTCTGGTCAATTGGGCCAGTGCTTGAGCCAGTAATCTTGCCGGAGAAGAGAGGCTTAGCCGCGCTCCAACCGTTGGCGTTGGTAGGGTCGGAGGAAGTCTTGTAGGAGAAAGCGGTAGCTCCCCACTGGTAGGCGATAACCCAGGTGTTCTTGGGCTTGAAGAAGAAGAGGGTAGGGGCGACGAGACCCTGGCTCATGGCGTTCTGGGGAGCAGATGCCAACTCGTTGAAGTTGGAGACGAGACCGAAGTTCATGGAGCCGTAGTTGCTGCCAGTGTCGTGGTTGGTGGCGTAGACGAGGTGCTTGCCGTTAACCATCTGGGTGGTGAAGTCCTTGAGGTTGGCCCATCCTGCCTTGGGCTGAGCAAGCGCGTTGGAAGAAGTCCACTTGTAGCTGGTGGGAAGCTGGCAGCTCTGGGCTGAAGCAGTCGATGCCAAGAAGGCGATCGCAGCAGCGGGAAGGCTGAGGTCGGTAGGAGTGAAACGCATGGTTGCTGATGTGAGGGATAGGAAGCTTGTGTTGTTTGGAAGAGAAGCTTGGCTGTGTGGAGTGAGGCCTTAAAGAGGGCTATCGACAGGATACTTATATGTTCATACCAGCATCAGAAGTACCAACCATACTTGCAAGGCACTGTCACACCGTCTCCACTCCATGAACCACCTCATTGTCTCGACCGTTCACATTGGCCTCGGTACCATAGCTCATCCTAGCACTGGAAATTGATCGTCCATGCCATGCGGCCGTTTGGGGCCTGGTATATTGTTCCGTTGTTGTGGGTATATTAATGACATGATGTTTCAAGGGATTTTGCGTACCTGCACGGACAGCAATTCTCCGTAATGCGGGGAGTGCCCGGCAAAGGGTTACTTTGCCGCACATGAAGCCCGGTTGGGGAAGACGCGCCAAGTCGTGGTGGGTATATGCTTAAATCCTATGCAGGCTTGTGCGGCAACTAATGGTTTGATCGCTGAGGCTTGGTAGCTTTATTTCAACGTCAATTCATCCTTTGCTGTAGGCAGAGCGATTGCATCTGGTAGACTTTTTGTTTCAACAATTCGTTGTGACGGCAGGGTGGACTGACGCGTTGATTGCTGGAAACAAAATCTCGGCGGTATTCCCTGAAATGCGAGTGGTAGTGAGCTTTGTGATACAGAAACTCCCACCGGGTGTTTACCAGAACCCACCATTTCGGCCCTTTAAGGTTTAGCGCCCGCCATGTTCGTATGTCAAAACGCTTTGAAACACCCGGTGGCCGGATTCTAGAAGCAGGGTCGACAGGAGCGACAGTGGCGCAAATGTGTTAGCGGTGGGAATGCCAGTGTTTGGAACGATCGCGGGTAGCCAGACGGGATCTTAGCGAGGTTGAAGTTGGCATTGCTTATGCTGCGGCGCATTGATACTCATCGTCGCGAGATTGCTACTACGTCAACGGTAGTGGATCTCTGTTTCGTTTCTCGTCTGCGTCGCACAGTGGAAGACATCAACCGGTTCTGCACCGCCTTCGAGTCGGTGAGCGATCGGAAGCAGTTGGTCTTGATCGCGCATAGACCATGAAGCCCAATGTCCGACTGTATGTTCTAGATGGACAGGACATGGTCGCCGAGTAGACCTACCACGAATTCCTACCGCAATTCATCCAAGATTCGTATGGAGACAAGGCGGTAGGGTCGGTTTCTCAGTCGACTCGTGGAAATTCTCTGCCCGTTGATATGAAGAGTGGCGGTAGGGGCGCCACCGAGCACTGTTCGCAGCCAAGTCAACTAAGACCGTTGCCGAGCAGCCAAAGTTGACCAGCTGCTCCAGGTGACCTACTCGAAATGGTCTAGTAGTGAAGGTTGCAAGCGTGGCGCAATATCCAAGTGAGGAATCGAATCTGGTATAGATTGGACAGATTGAATCTCCAACTCAGTACAGGCACACAGAGTAAGCCTTCCGATGGTTTAGAGGGATTGCTTACATGTGAAGATATCTCCACGTAAACAGGTAGCGCTCGCTTGTACGAAAAAGGAACAGAGTCGATCATATGAGCCAGGATTCCTTCCGAACCCACTGTACCCCATACCAAGCCTCGTAAAGCTCGATAGCATACTGGGCGCCCAAGACACTAAACATCCCCCAAGACTGCCGAAAACGTTCCCAAGACGGATAGTGGCACGGATCAGGCACATACGAGCCCCATGGGGTAGTAAAAAACGTTGTTTGCGGTGTATGTGTTGTCCATCTAATCTGGCTTCTGTTCAGGCAGAGACGAGTCTTACAGCCGTTTAAGCTTTCTCGTGCGCCGTGTAACTTCTTCTGATAATCAACTTGTGCAAGCGCCGGCTATTGAGTTCTTCTTAAGGTCAGCGATAAATCCTACACGCGGGGTTCAGAGAGAGTGGCGTGTCGGATAATGTTCAAAAGCGCCAGCATGTTAGTCCAGAGTACCAATGTCTGAGGGGGATCTGGCTGCTGTAAGGCTGAGCTGACCTGCCAATGACCGAAACCTTCACTATGCAGATCGTAGAGTGCAAACCTCAAGGTTCAAGTGTTGCTGCACCGCTAAACAAGAATATTGTGGTTTAGGTGAAAAGCACATGTGTTGGAGATGATGACGTTGTGTTGTTGGCGAGCCGAGAGCTTACTCAGCCACTGCCCATTTGGTATTACATATTCTTCACGCAATTAGTAGTATAACTCATCTTGATCTCGCACTCTTGCGCTACGAGTTGTGGCTCTGCTAGATTCTTGGATGAACGACACAGATCACAAACCTTGATCGACATGGCTGTAGCATTCTACGCATGTATAACGGATGACTGTATTGCAGGCATCACAAGATAATCAATTTAGCCATATGGCACCCCTCTCTCTTCGCCAGCTTCTCTTGCCTATAGTAACTCTACCATGTCTTTAGAACGAAACACTCGAAATGTACCATTATGGCCTAAACTATGCATCTCCACTGAGAACGACAGAATGCACCTGTCCAGTACTCAAAGCTTCTCCAGGACGCTTTGAAATTTCTACGTACCTCAAAGCCTGGTGTTTTCGATCCGCAGGTGCTTTAGGGGATACTGCACTGCCATAGACGTCGTCCGTGTGGAGCTATATCTTAATCGAAGTGCCAACCAAGCGCTATGCTTCCACGCGATCCCGAAATCGTTGAAGTTGATCGTGTTTATACTATAGATTTGTGAGTGGGGAAAAACAGGTAAGCATGGAAATACGTACTTTTGTTGATCATTTGATTTATGTCCCATTGAGATTTCGGCGGCTACCGAAGCACTTGCTTGTGCATCACCTTGACACTCTCCGGTAGCCATCCCGCATCTTGTACATCGCATTGAAATTCTGACCTGATCAAAGATATACGCCATCGTCTGCCTCTGGCGCCGACGCATCACCATTCCTTTGCTCTTCCGCTGCCGTACCATTTGTCGCCGTAGTCGCATGACCGTTCACCGCAGCACCATCAACCTTCTCCTCTTCCCTCGGTCTCCACGGTAGACCCCTCACGTCCTTGACCTCGTTCTTGATTGCCTCCCTCCTCTCCTCGAACCTCTTTATAACCTGCTTGTTCTCCATAAGTGCCTCGTAGCAGTCGCGGTCATCATTCTCGCGCGCAAACTCCTCGAGCTGCTTGTTGCTGGACTCAAGATGGGTGAGTTGGTTGGTAAGCTCGGAGTATTTGGCGTAGAGCGATTCGACAGAGAGGTCTTCAAGCGCCTTGGAAAAGCGCGTGAAGGTGATCGGAGCGGCGTCGGCGGACATGCTTGTACCGTGTTCTACGTGTGTCGCGTCGAGTGAGAATACTTTTGTGTTCGGCAATAGAGCCAGAGATGCGCAGTGAGTCGTGAAGTTGAGAGTACGTGAGGCTCAGTGTTGGGTGGAGTTGTGGCGGAAATCAGTAAGCAAGACGCGTCGGAGAGCTTGAGGTTGGTGGGGTAGCTTGACAGCTTACCCCGCCATCATCACGCATATAACGACAGACTGGTGCCTAGAATGCCTCCACTGACACGATCGCGCACGGTGAGTCGAAGGATCTCACCTTGATCGCTGGTTTGCTCATGCTCCAGAGATTTCATCGCGAATATATTGCAGCAATTTGAAATATAGTTAAAACAGCAACCTCTGGCACTTTGGCGGAGTGGTTAACGCGCTGGCCTGCTAGTCCTTCACCGGAAAGTTAGCCAGTTCCTTCGGGAGCGTGTGTTCGAATCACACAGGTGTCGCACGAACCAATCTTTTTGCCAACATGGACAACTTGAGGTCACACATTCCAGAACCTATGACAACCTTTTTGCCGTCCTCGGCTACCCGTGTCATGTATGCGGAACTATTCAGAGTCTCTTGTTTTTGCGATATCTCCTATGCATTTGCTCCTTTTTGGTATGATATGACATGTGGGGCGGGATCCACAAGCGGCTTGCCTGCATGGTAGAGAATGTTTAACATATAGTTTGTCTGAGTGTCCAGTGCTTTGGTGCTACTGCTACTACCGCTAAACTATCTTCCAGGGTTCATACCAGGCATCAGATCTGGCTTGTCAAGAACCATACCCCGGAGCAAGATCCACTGCCTCAAACCCTCCCAGTCCTCGCCCTCTTCATCACCTCGCCTCCACACTTCCTTGAAACCCCACGCACAGGCTATGCGGTCCAAGGCCGCTCGCTCATCCTCTCTCAGATATCGATCAAGCAGTGGAACACCAGGTCGCCAGACAACTCGGTCGTGGTGATCGTTGTATGTCGTCAGGGCCACGAATCCGAGCGTTCCCGTACACATAACATACGTGCTCATGCCCATGAAAGCGTATAGCTTAAAAGTCCAAGGGTCGATAAAGCCGCTGTATACGGATAGTTCCTGGGCGATCATGTAGAGAGCAAGTGGGGTGATAGCCGTCAAGATACCGGGCAACCCCAGCTTTGTGACTATGCGGTGCCGCCGCCACGCAGGAGCGCGATAACTGTGGTCAACAACATCCAGGGCTAAAGAAAGATCTTTCGCGTCGATTGCCGCGGTGAGCGCTGCGTCGGCGAGATCGGCTGGAATAGCCTGCTTTGCTGACTTGGGAGAGGGTCGTGAGAACTTGGGAGGCGAAGAACCTTCGACGGGGACTGGTTTGTTCGCGTAGAGGTAGAGCGCTTCTGGAATGGTCTTGGGTCGGGCAAGGAGTCGCTGTATGTGGATGTATATCGCGAGGATGTTTGGTGATAGGAAGACCTTCTCGTGCTTGAGAAGGCCCTCCGCGAGCTTCGAGAGATACGATGGCGAGGGTAACGCATCCAGTCCAAAAAGCTTCGAACTTTTTTTCGCTTCCGTCTTTGCCTCCTCTTCACCACCCAATCCAGAGAGTATAGCCCCAGCACTACTTTGCCTTATATGCGCCTGCGTCGCTTGAGGCTGTCTTAAACGTATCGCTATTGCTTCTTGTGCAATGTAGTTCAATCCCTCAAATGCTTCCATTATGACCGCCTCCTGCTCGACTTTGGGTGAATTGTATATCTCTTGTATCCGAGCCTCTACTTGGGCGAGTTTGCTCTTCAACGACACTATTCTCTCCGAATATTGTCGCACGCCATCGTCGCTAGTGTCGACCACTGCTGCCTTCCGGCTTGTCGTCGTAATGTTTCGTGGACGGGCTGCAGACGTATTGCGATATGCATTCGGGGTTGACGCGGTTTGTCGTCGTATCGAAGGCGCTCGGAATGATGTGGATAGGAAAGTCCGGCGACTCCCAGGCTGTTGTAGTATATAGTTGCACAGTTGGCACACCGACCGCGATTGAGCGCGCACTGGCATACTGCCGGGCTTCATTGCGCTTGTTGAATTGGCTGTGGTTTGGCAGTCGATGTCGCGATTCAATGTTCGATGATGCCTCTCGTGCAGCAGTCGACAAGTGTGGAACGGGTTTAGTGCGGCTCGGCATAATTTCTCCACCGACTAAAGATGGGATTGAGGAAAACAACCTGCACTATGTATCTTGCCAGATGTCTTCGTGGAATATGAGGATACCGCCAATTCCCCTGGACCTTCTTCTGGGGTATACGAACGACGCCGTAGAGCGTGTTGTGTCTCCCCATGTCCACTACCACGAATACTGATCGTGATTCTCGACAGCCTGCGCTGCCCCGCGCTACATCGTCCAAGGGGAGCTTCGGTACAGTCTACTCTGCTACGTGTACATATAGAGATGACTTGCAGATCGCAGGTGGTGAACTGATACCTGTCGACTAGCCAAAGATTACACGCGCTCAATGTAGTATCGTACTTTTGAGTGTATACGAACACGCTCATCGTTCCGCTGATCGATTACTCACCCACAACAAATTTCTCATGTCAGTGTTATCTCTGGAACAGGTAGCATCATTCTGGTCTTTTGGAAGTATTGACGTCAACTCCTCGCTGATGGTTTGTGAGAACGGCTCCTTCCTTGCGTTTGCTCTTTCCGCTTGGAGCTGTGACGCGACGCGCGCACGTCCCACACTACAATACAACCTGAGCTTTCAGACCATCTTCTCTTCTCCATCTTCCTCGTGGCGGTTGAGGCCCGTCAGGGTGCTTTAGCTTGCTTTTGCACTTGAGAATCATCGTCGCTCTTAGCTGTAGCGCCTCTAGTACTGTGCTCTTTGTTGTAGCACGTCTAGAAGACTCTCTTACAACGGCCTAGGCAGCTCTTACTTGTCCTTGTGGCAGTACGGTCTTCCTAACGCCCTTGCATGGTTTTCGTTGGTCCTTGGGGCCCGAATCCGTTTTCTCTCTCTACTATCATGTCTTCTCATGCCATTCACCGAAAGGTCAGTGTCCACTACCCTCATTGGGTGCTATAGGTTTGGTTTGTGGTTTAACACCCATGAATCGACCGACCTGAGACCTCGCTGCATGACGCGAATGTATGCGCCACACTGCCCCGCCAATTGCAGCAGACTGAGCTTACACCTGCGAAAACGCTCGACCAATCTGATGATGGTCGCGCCTTTGACTGCAGCCTGCCGACAGCAGTGCTGCCTAGCAGCTGATTTAGCCAGCATAGACATGGTGCTTGCCAGCACATACTCGCAGCGTGAGCCTTTCGCGTTTTGAACCACAGTGGACAAGAGGGCTTTGACGATTCCTCCGAAATACTGCATTTCTCTTGTCGCACAACGTTAATACCCCAGCATACGCTCGCTATCTCCCTGACATGAGCGCGAAGACTACACCGGGTCCACGCCAAGCTGCAAGCGTGTTTCGGGCGGACGACGACTACTCTGACGATGACGGCTTCACTGTAGGCAGTGACCTCGATGACTTCATACCTGAATCGTCACACGAAACCCCGACTCTGGTTTCAACGGTCGTAGAAGGAACAAAGCAAGAAGAAGGGATGAACTTGGCCAGGGACGATCGAGATCTGCGATTGAACTACGATAATCCACATCATGCGAGGAAATGCAGAGACCTTGATAGCGCAAAAGAGGAGTTAGATGATAGTGTGAACGTCGATCTCATTGCATATGAGAAAGACTGGGCACTCGCTGACTCGATCCGTAAGCGTCACATCGACAACATAGCACTTTTGCTAGAAAGGGGCGCCGATGCGAACTTTCAAATCATCGGTTTACCTCTGATATTCCATGCGGTCAAGCAGAAAGAACACGCACCTCAAATCATCCAACTTCTCTTAGATCATGGCGCTGACCTGGAAGCTACTTCTGGACCGACTGATGCGACCGGTAATGACGATATAAATGCTTTGCATTGGGCTGCTGGGAAAGGAATGATACACGCGGCTGATTTTTTAATCAGTAAAGGCGTCGACATCAGCAAACCCTGCTCGAGCGGGAAGACGCCTCTCATCCTTGCGGCAGAGAGAGGACATCTTGAAGTCGTCAAGCTGCTGCTTGCAAAGGGAGCAGGGCTGCATGAAAGATATGCGAACGGTGGTTCTGCTTTGATGTGGGCAGCGAGTCAAGGGCAGCTTGAGGTCGTTGATTATTTGCTGAACCAGGGATCTAGAGTCGATGATTGTAGTGAAGACGGGTTGAGTAAGTCACAATACTCAACAAGAAACAACGCACAGAAACTGACTCTAGCAGCCTGTCTATCCGTCGCCAGCATGTCAGGTCACCTAGCAATTGTAGAACTACTGATCAAGAAGGGCGCAAACATCAACGCACGGAGTATTTCGCCGGAAGACTGGACTCCGGCGGTTTTCGCGGCAGATGAGGGTCATACCGAAGTACTACAGGCCCTGCTGTCACATGGAGCAGATACCAATGTCTTAACCAGTGATGGCGACACTATTCTCGAACTTGCTATGGAGAAAGGCCACCTGACCACTGCCAAGGTCCTCTTAGAAGCTGTTGGCGGACCCGGATACCCAAAGGATAGTGTTGCACTCCAGATAGCAACTGCACAATCCGAGACAACGGTAAAATCAATAATGAACACCGTCTCTATCATGTATCGGTATGTTGACTCCAGGTCTACCGGATCCGAGTGGCAAGGCTGGATTCCATGGGTCTTGGATCAAGGTGGCAAGCTTGTCAGATCACAGGCTATGATCAATATGCTACGCGCCGCACTGGCTTACGAGGATACTGAAATCACTGCACAGCTACTCAAATTAGGAGCGGATCCAAGTATGGTCTTCTCCACTGGATACACGCCACTCACTATCGCAATATCCAAGCACAACTTGAAACTCATTGAAACACTCCTCGAAGCAGGCGCCGATCCAGCTAAGCTCTCGAAAGATGCCACAGGCTGCGAACTTACGCCACTGCATCAAGCAATAATTGGTTGGGAGTATGGCCAGAAGAAAGGCACGTCTGTCGTGAAGATGCTGCTAGCGAGTGGTCGATGCAGAATAATGGACGGACAGAATGCTCAGTCCAGCGCTTTCGCCCGTGTAGTACGCAAATTTGACAGTTGCGACGACGAAATCGTCCTAGAGGCCGCAGACATAGCCCGCCAAATGCTTGATTTCACGAACGTAAACGAAGATCGATCCGAGGATGGGTCTACCCTAATGCACGTTGCTGTCTATTACAAGCAGAAGGGCTTGATAGATCAACTTCGACGAGTAGGGGCCAATATTAACGCCAAGGACAACGATGGCCATACACCTTTTCTTATTGCATGCAAGAGTAATGTTGAGCTGGTCAACTTCTTGGCTACGCGCTGTGCAGATGTATCGGACACGAACAACCGCGGCTATGGAGCTCTGCAAATCGCCGCTGCTCATGGTAAAATTGAAGTGATCGAGTTCCTCCTTGGTCTGAATGTTGATGATGAAGAACCACTGATGGACATCAACTCCTGCGATCCCGCCGGTTATACGCCTTTCATCGTCGCGATATTGGCGGGCAATGAAGATGCAGCATTGTATCTGCTCGAACGAGGAGCGTACCCCTCATCTTTTACGCACGACAATGGAAGATGTGCGCTACATTACGCAGCAGGCAAGAGTATGCTGCGTGTACTCGAGAAGATTTTACCACGCCGCTCCATGGGTGGCATCGACAGACAAGACAACAAAGGTTACACACCTCTTGCACTCGCTTGCATGGCACCTTCTCCAACCAGTGTATCCCTCTTGCTATCCCTTTTCTCATATCAACCTGGCGTGGATGTTAACATTGTCAACCCCATAACAGGCGACAGTGCTCTACACATCGCGCTTAAACGACCTCTGCACATGTCGCCCATGGACGCCAGATACGGCCACCCAGCTCTCGATCTGCTCCACTATATATATACCGATATCACAGTCCGCGACGCCAATGGCCGTACACCACTTCATCTCGCAGCCGAGTTTCATAATTTCTCTGCAGCAAAACTCCTCTTATCCAGGGGTGTATCACTACACTGCGAAGACAAGAAGGGACGAACGCCACTGTGTCTGTGTTCAAATCCTGAAATCGCACAAGCGCTCATCACTCATGGTGCGGATGTCAACCACGGTGATGAAGACGGGTGGACACCATTGCATTACGCGGTATCGAGGTGCTGGGTCAAGACTTTTGCGGTGCTGAGACAAGCGGGGGCTAGTATGGAAACTAGGACACGAGATGATGGTCTGAGTGTGAAGGAACGATTGGACAAGTTCGGTACGTGGGACGATTGGGTGAATGCAGAAATTGATTATGTGTGTGACGATGCACAAAGGGAGAAAACGAGGGAAGCCGAGATGGAGGCTGAATTTGAGTGACGGAGAATATGTGTCAGTTGTAATTTAGTGCTAGAGCAGCCTTCAAGCGTCTGTCTTATGAACTCATGCGATATAGAAACCCGCAAGTACAGTTTGAGAGTGATTGACCTTGACATTAGCACATGTAATCCTTGCAGAGTTATGTTAATGTATCTATACCTACCAGAACCACTTCACCACCAGTCTCTGGGATTCGTCAATTTTCAATGCATAAACATGTGCACACAGATTCAAAGGGTGTATAAGCCTCGCAGGGCAATCGTTGCTTGGTATCTACCCCATCGCCCTTATCGTATCGACGATTAGACAATAAGGTTAAAGGAAGAGTGTTGTTGCTTGCTAAAGCCACTCAAAGCAAGCATAGGTTACAAAGACGATAACCAGACCAATGAAGAAGCCAATATGGACAAACGCCCTCGCTAATGCAGAAACACCCATAGCAGAATGCCCAACCAACCGACAGTGGCTATACGAGAGAGAACTCCCTGCCCGACAAAAGGAAAGAAAAAGGTGGGATAGATACCCTATGTCAACGTCCCATTCAAACTTCCCAAGAGACGCTAGCGGGAAGTAGAACGGAGGAAGGAAGAACCATACAGTCTTTGGGTCGTTAAGAACTTGTAGTATAGGCCATGATATGAGATGGAAGAAAGGCGGGTCATCTCTAAGGCTCAGAGAAGTTGAATTGTCGGAAAGGTGCAGCTCCCGTAGTCGAGCAGCCCGGTGCTAGAGTAAAAGGACTGACACCAGAGCCTGTGGAAGAGGTGCTTAGATTAGGCGCACCGCTGATAGTGGAATCGAGACTAGCTCTATGTATGGAAAGCCGACGAGCTACTATACACCATCAGCCAACAGTGTCAAAACCTTGGACACAGCTTGATGATGGAGGCGTCAGGAACTAGTTGTAGTTAGAGTTTTGCCTACTACTCTGTGGTGTTCCGCTGCTCGAATTGCTATCACTTGGCGTTGCTGGCTCCAGGCTGAGCTGGGCACGGAGCGTCATGATCCATTCATGTTGAAGCAGCTCGACGGCGCTCGCTCGCTTGTTCGGGTCGCGATCGAAACACTTCTTGAGGAAGTCGATACCAGTGTCACTGAGTTGCTCCTTGGACGGCAGTTGTGGTGGGTCACCCTGGGCAATGTGGTACATGATGGCCCACTCATTATCCATGGAAGCCCAAGGGCGGCGACCGGTAGCCATCTCGAGGATTACGCAGCCGAGTGACCATATGTCGACAGCGCCGTGACGCCCTGTGCTTCCACCTCGAATGACTTCGGGTGACATGTACATTGGTGTTCCGGTCATGGAGCCTTGACGGCCCTGGCGTGTGGCGTTGTGTTCCGCGGCGAGGGTCCGACCTTGGCGAGCAATAAGTTTAGCAGCGCCGAAATCGACGAACTTGATAACTCCGTTGTGATCGAGCAGGATGTCTATCCGCGTTAGTAAAATTCAAAAATAGCATGCCTCGATAGACTCACTCTCAGGTTTGATGTCGCGGTGCACGACACCAGCGTCGTGTAGGTAGGCAAGACCCTCCAACATTTGGAGCGCGTAAACCATAATGACAGTCTCGTCTTCGATTCTTCCATGTTCAAGAAGTCCAGCAAGCGAACCACCAGAGCAGTATTCCATGAAGATGTACACCTTGTCTCGATGTGGTTCGATACCATAGTAGGACACAATGTTCGGGTGGTCGAGCACTTGTAGTACGCCCATCTCATCTCTGATCTGTGCAACGATGGTGGGAATAAGCTGTGGATCTTGTAGACGGATTTCCTTGACAGCCATGAGGTGATTAGAGTCGAGGTTCATAGCCGCATAAACGGATCCGAATGTACCGCCACCAACGAACTGGCCTTGCTGCCATCGAAGTGTGACGTTTGTCGCAGAGGAAGACAGGTAGGTCAAAGCTCGATCAGCTTCGTTAGAGTCTTCCAACACCCTACCAAGGGCTTGACGTTCGGCCTCCTTGTCTTTGCGGAAGGAATCAATCTCTTCAAGGCTTTGCATCCACTGCTGTTGCGTCATCTCAATAGACTCGTCATCGTCCTTTGCATTCTTAGGGTCGAGCAAGCTCTTGCCGGCAATAGCGTTCAGACGCTGTCGCTCAGCTTGAGCTGCGATAGTGGATCTCGCGCCCATGATGTCGAAATGAGAGATGAGGACGGACATACAGCCAGCAACCTTGAGTCGTAGTTGCGAATACTCTTCATCACTGATGGAAAGTATGTTTTGACCACGAGTCATCATCATAGCAAACTCCAAAGCGACGACAGCCCATCGAAATGTCTTGCGATCCGAGGCAATGCAGTCATCGCAAATGAAACTGACCCAATCAAGTGCCAGTCTAGTTAGCTTGATGTTGTTCATGGCCCTTCGGTTGTAGTCCATATAAAGAACGGAACGTTGACCGAATTCGGTTGCGAAAGCGAAACAAGTCTGGATGAGATCCTGGCAGTCAAGACCCACAGTCTGCCTGCGGACAATCTCAACGCTGTCCATGATGGTGTTGGATAGCTTGTATGCCGTCTTCTTGATCTTCTGCAATTCCGCATTGACGCGAGGTAGGTTGGCGCGCTGATCGATCAGAGTGGTCAATTCGAATCCTATTGATGATAGGAACGACATGTTTGCATTTGCTAGGCGTTGCTGTGAGCCATCCGCGACGAGCCGTAATCGCCCGGGCTTGAGGTCGAGATGAGGCTCAATGATGTTTGCTGACATCTTCTTGCCAGGCCAGTACAGGGGCTGCTCTGGTCGGATGATCAGAACATACGGGTTGGAGGGGTCTTCCGGAGCTTCTTCGGCGTGATAGCAGGTTGTGAGGAGTGACTGAATGTCATTTGGTCGGTCCAATGCAGTCGGTGATGCAACGATGTAGATGCCAGTGTTGTTTCCGCCAGTAGTCTCAACGAGGAAGTGGCCGGTAGCAACCAGGGATTCGTACAGCTCTTGCAATTGCTCTTCATCCAGGTCGATGTTGTTGATGTTGAACTCGGTGCAGTTCTCGAAACGCTGTGTGAGAATCCTGGAGAAACGGAACAGCTTACGCTGTCGAACACGGACAGAGTCCAGAATCTGCTTGTATCGCTTCTCCATCTCGGAGCCTGTAAGCTCGTCTGGCCGACGTTGCAGTTCTCGCTCGAAATGGGCGCTGAGACGAGTGAGCGACTTGGACGTAAGAACGCTGAACTGCTCTGCGGTCTCGACGTCACCACCTTGGAGCTGTCGACCGAGCTTGTTGCAAAAGTCCCATTCCTGTTCCAAGATTTCGGCTTCCTTGAAGGTGTTCTTGTTGGCTGCCAACTTCCAGTTCAGCATCTTGAAGTAAAACTTGAGAGCGTCTAGGACGACCAGGTCAAAGTTCTCCTCGATGCACGGTGGCAGGTCCCAGCCAGGCTCCGGTCGGGAGATGATCATGTAGCTCTCCTTGACCTGACCAGCCATGGCAAGCAGAATCTGGAACTGCGCAATCATCTGTTCAGCCATCATGACGCCCTGTTGTGATGGATCCTTGATCTTCTTGGCGTATGAGAGGCGGACGCGGATGATCTCCTGGAGGAGGCGGGAGGGGAAGTTGATGAGGGTAAGCAGCTCCTCGATGTAAGGGGGAAGATGTCTCTCTGCGAAACCTTCGGCATTGGCGATCAGTGTAGCCTTGGCCTTCTGGATGACCTTCTCGAGGGGGGCCAGCAGATTGGTGTCGCCCTGCAGGGACTTGAGACCATCCTCCTTGAGTATCCGGTCAATAAACGAAGAGTCGTCGGTCAGATGGTGATCCTGGGACGAGCGCGGGCGGGGTTTGGTGAAGTCGAGCTCCTCGTTGCCGACCCACTTCTTGAGAATGGACATCTCAGTGTTGATGAGGGTGATGGTGTTGTGCCAGGCGATGACGGCTTCGCAGGCGTCCTTGTAGGGCTGCGAGGCAGCGCGTGGGTAGGCGGCCTCGAGGGCCTGGCGGGTGGGGTAGACGCTCTCGACCTTTTCGATCTTCTTGACGATGTCCTCGACCTGCTGGGCTGCCGTCTGGCCGGCCTCGGCCTCGCCGCCGACCTCGAAGGAAATGATGCTCTCGAGCATGGCCCTGATCTTGCCGCGCGTGTCATCGACGATGCGGCGCTGTGCCTGCAGCGAGCGGCCGCAGACCTTGGCGCGGATGCCCATCCAGATCTCGGCCTTCATGGTGCTGTCGCCCTGCTGCTCGGTGCTGCCAATCAGGCGCTTCTTCTCCTGCTTGACTACGTCGCCCGTCAGCACGCTGGCCAGCATCGAGTGCCACTCGAGGCGCTCGCGGTTGGCGGGGATCTTGAGCTCCTCGATCGAGGGCTGCATGTCGTCGTTGCCATAGTAGAGCAGCGTCTCCTGGTCGTAGGGGTCGTTTTCGACATACTCAGCCGTCGAGGGGGATTCATCGTCCGTCTCCGAGTCGGTGCTGTAGCCCAGGCTCGGGGTGCGCAGAGCCGGGTCGAAGAATTCGTCCTGCTGGTCCTCCTGGCGGATGCGCTGCACGTAGGCCTTTTCCTGGGCGCGGTACTCGGCGTTGGGGTTGCGGCGCGAGCGCGTGGCCGAGTTGTTGCGCTGGCGGTGCGACGTGTTGGAGTTGAGGGAGAACTGCTGGGGGCGGCGGGCAGGCGCATATGCGTTGCTCGGGGTGCGGACGGCGGACGGGCGTGGTCCTCTGGTGCTGGAGCTGGGCCCGCTGCTGGAGCTGCTGCCACCGTTGGACTGCGTTTGCGTGGCAGGCGGCAGGTCCGTCATGATGGCGGGACCGCGGGCGCGCGACGACGAGGCGTTGCTGTTCCACGAGTACTGGGGCTCGCGCAGAGGAGCGACTTGGTCGTGCTGCTGCTGCTCGCCGGCGGAAAATGAGTATTCTTCGATGCCACCGACGCCAAGGTGGGCATCGTTCAGATCCGAGTCGCCTGATGAGCCGCTTCCCGAGCTCTCGAGGCCGGGGCGCTGCGCTGCCCCGGGGGCATTGACTACTACTGGCTTCGTCCCGTCGGCCATGGCGTCTGGTAGCAGTGGGTTGTCGTGAGCTTGGAAGCGCACTCGAGCCTGGCTGCCCATGATCGTATAACGTTAATCGACGACGGCCGGCTTCTTTTCCCTCCGCGGAAGGGATCAGCGCTGGAACCTGTTTGCGGGATGCTGTGGCGGTGCAGCACAGACGACCTTTATCCAGTTCATTCACTCGCGCTTATCCAACCCATTCACTCTGGCACTAGTCTTTGTGCGCCTTCCGCTGCCTTCCACGCCCTACTGCATTACTGTATGCCTTCGCTCACGCCAACAACAAGCGGCAGCCTGCGCCCGCTCTCCTCGCAGCCTGTCGTTCACGAGGTTGCCACCACGGCACGCTACGCTAAGCTAGCCGCCTTGGGCCTAACCATGCTGCTCTGCCATGGCCCCCAGGACTCCCCAGTTGCTGCCACCCTGCGAATCCCAAAGCAGCACCGTCCCGACATCATTTTTCTTGGATATCAGGGTCCAGCCACTTCTACACCTCCTATTCAGCGTCATCGCCGTCGCGAAGTCGAATTGCCCATTTGTCTAGAGTCTGTCTCGAATGTGTCTAGACCTCGGAATCTCCGACACACTACCCAGGTAGGCCACTCTGTAGATAGCCGTTGGAGGCTCGGCAACCCACATCAATCCCATTCTGAAGTCATAACAACGTCTGCCGTTTCAATAACCTCTGCTCGCCAAAGCATTGCGTCTTTGCTTATGCCGAAGGAACACACCCTCTCGCAGGCCCACCCATGCGGCACGAGTCGCGGAAAAAGTAACTTGCGCCGCCTATCATGATGACGTCGACCATGTTTCAAGCATATCTGGGGAACACAATGCTTCTTTGAACAAATAAACATTACCGTCCTATAGGACCTTGCATTACATACACACTCGTATCGCATACACCACCCCCTTAGATATCCTTCCTCGCCAACTTGCTCTTGTGTCTGATCTGCTTGCCCCACTTGTAAAGCGCAAATGGGATCGGGATAAAAGCGATACCCAGGAACGCCAACGTACTACTCGCCCAGTTGATGCCCAAGTTCTTGAACATGGCACTGGCGAACAGCGGGAAGCCGGCACCGAATGCAGACCTCATCAAGTCGTTGCCCGCCAGTACACTAGCGACTGAGTCTGGGTACGCGTCCGATAGGTAGGGTAGAACTGCTTGGAACAGCGTAAAGGCTGCGACACCAAAGAAGCCCGATCCAATGATGGGCACAATCCAGTGCACATCTGACCTAGACGTCCATCCGAACCAAAAGAGACAGATGGGTACGGCGAAGCAGCCCACCATGGCAGGGATAAGGCGCTTCTCTGGCTCAATGTTGCCGTTCTCATCAAACTGCTTCTCCAGGTAATAGTAGTTCCACGCAAAGAGCACGATGACCGCAACGAAGGTGCCGACGAGGATACCGAGGAATGCCACGCCTTCAAGGCCAAGGTTGAAGCCGTACAGTCCCTCAAAGACCAAGGGGAATGACTCGAACCAGATGTAAAGGAGACCGTAGATGAGCGCAATGTATAGGTTCAGTAGAAACACAATGGGTTCCGTGAACATGAGGGTGAAGGGCTTGAGAAGACTCATGTTGACAATCTACGACAATGTTAGCAGTGCATCGCAGTGGGGGTGATTTCAATACGTACATCCTTCGCTGACATCTCCTGGGACATGATGTCCGCCTCACAGGTAAGACGGTCGTCACCAGTCAACTTCTTTAACCTTCGTGTCCTACGGTGCAGGATGTTTGGTGCGCTCGTCTCAGGGAAGAAGAAAAACAGGAATACCCAGCAGAAGCCAGATAGCCACATGAGCTCCCAGATAGTCCATGTCCAGCCCTTGGCCATGACAGCGAAGCCGCCAACAAGGGGACCGAGTACTGGTCCGCAAACAGCTCCAATTCCCCACACAGCCAAGCCATATACTTGTTTCTTCGGTCGATACATGTCGGCAATAGAAGCACCACCTGTGGCGAGCGCTGGCGAACCGAAGAACCCAGTCAAGAACCGGAAGGCAAGAAGCATGCCAAAGTTGATCGAAAAGACAGTCGGCAGCTGAAGAAGGACGAAAATTACTAGTGGCCGCTATGTTAGCATATTCTCTTCCCCATGCAAAGTGACGGCGAACTTACGAAGTGTAATGATATACACCCAAAGACGACCAATTTGAGGAATCTCGCTCATAGGCGACCAGAGCAGAGGCCCAAGACCGTATCCAGCAACGTACAGGGTCAATCCCAATGTTGCGGGAACCTGAGCGACGCCGAAGTCTGCCATTACATCCATGAGACCGGGTGTGTAGATGGCCGAGCCGATGTATACGGAGAAAGTAAGAAAGCAAATTTCAAAGGTAACAAAGTACCGCTTTCCACGCGACCAGTTTCGCGGGTTCTAATAACTTGTCAGCAATGATCGAGCATCCCGAGCTGCGGCGGACATACCTGGGGGTCGTCTGGTCCATACCAATCGACAACGTGAAGGTCCTTGCCCTTCTCAGGATCCACTCTCACACCACTGGCTTCATTGACACCATTGCCGATTGTGCGTGACGATGTCTCAGAGTCGTGTCTGTCATCGCGGCTTCTGACTCCATGTGCCTGTGTGAGTTCATCAATCTCATCCGCGTTCTCGGGCGGTTGTGTAGATCCATGGTATGCGGCGTATCCAGATTTCTCATGACTGACATATTTCTTCCAGATCTCGGGGTCCTTCTCTTCAGGATATTGAAGGTACTTGTTCCGCGTCACAAGTCGAACGATGTGGCCAAAGGCCGAGTCGCGAATGAGATCCAGCATGATCCTCACTCACGGAAAAGTGTAGATGTTGAAAAGCTTAGAGGCACAAGTGATACAACATCCTCCACCAAGCCCTGGCATCGAATGCTTAAGTTCGATACACATTTGTGACATCATCGTCGACATCAGTGCTCACACAAAAGCCTAACGAAGCTTATCCGTCCCTGGCGCCGCAAAGGGTGCACACGGATGCCGAAAATGCCCCTTGTCGTAGCAACGCCAAGAAAACTGCGGCTCGAAAAGCTTAGCTTGACACAATGTTTGCGTTGATGGGGTTTTCAGACGAGGCTATCGACAAGTCAATGACGATGCTAGATCTTCATCGGTTGTGATGATCGGCGCCAGCCGTGCAGAGATCAGGCGTTTTACCTAACTCGTCCGGAGGCTCGCGGAACGACTTCGACGGTGTATCTAGAGAAGTCAAATGCGCTGGCGATGGGCGAATGGAGGCCTGAAGAATTTTGGTATTCTAATCTTTAAGGTCGTTTGTAATGTTCTGGGCTCACAGTTTCGATGTGATGACGTCAATCAACAAAGACAATGGAAGTGGCTGGCAAGTGACTCATGTGCGCTGCAACTCCCTAGATCCATGACTAGCGTACTCGCGAGCAGGCAATCCTTCTAGATGCAGGTAGCATGTGTATTTGCATAGAGCTGCGATGACAATATCCAAAACTTCAAACATATCCTTACCATGGTCAATCATCACCATCACTGCATACTCAAGACCCATGTACCCGGACACGATAGTAGATATTCTCCATCGTGACCAGACCGTGACATCCATCAAGCCTCCTAGACTGCCCACTGGCTCAAGACCTCTTCCTCCACGTCACGCACCAGCACATGCACATGCTCTAGGCTCCTCACACTTTGCAAGTTTGTCGTGTTCTTGAACCAGATGACCTTGCTCCCCTCTTCCTGCTCTTCCGCCTTTTCCCTAAACTCCCTCTTCACAAAGTCCTTGACCATATCCCTGCCGACATCACTCAATGCGCCTGCGGCATCCATCGGCAGTCGCTGCTTCAGCCAAACCACAATGTGGCGAATACCAGGCTCAAACGAATAAGTCCAGTCGTTCCTCAGGATCTTGTAGTCATCAGGATCCGCAAAAGGTGTAGTGTTGCGTACGTCAAATCGCAGCGCTCCTGTTTCATCTTCGATTGGTTCCCAAAACAGTCGCTGATCAAGAAGATATGTCATAACACTGCCATGTTTTTCCTTGACATGCGCTGTCCAAGCAAGGTAGGCTTTCAATGAGCTGGGCCAGCGTTTCAGCTCTTCAAGTTGGTTTGTGGAGATAAGATGGTGTAGATTTGACCACGAATGCGGTGTGAAGTCTGCATCTCTCAGGGACAGTTGATGCCAATCAATAGCTGTGAGCGGGAAAGGCGGGTTGTTGCGCGGGAAGGGAAGTGCTGTGGGATCTGGATTGGATTGCCATTGGGCCTGGAAGACGGACGGAAGTGACGCCTCGTCAGTGACAACTTCTCGTGACATTGTGTTGTGCGTGCGATTGAGGTAAGATGCGCGTCGTAAATGCCGTGAGCTATATGTGTATTTTGGACGCACAATTTTTGTTCTCGTGCAGCGTTGGGAAGTACACACCCACAATCGTTGGATACTATTTATGGAAGCAGCTAATGAGTGACCAAGACAATTAAACGTGGTGAGCGAATGCATCGAGTAAGGTAGTTGACATTTGTGGTAAGAGCGAAAAGTGCATGTTCGCGTGGGTGCTTACCTGCCTACTTGGTTGGTGGGATACTTGGCTCTACACATGGCCTTACCGCCTCCACCCCATGACCTACCAACAGGCTTCCATCAGCGAGGACAACCCACTATAATGTAGGTCTTCATGGTAGCTGCTGCGCCTCATTTCCCGTAATGTCTCTTGACGAGAGTGAAGCATGCGGCAAAGCGTAGTATATGCCTCAACCTTCTCTTCCTAGATTTTGCAAGGCACGGAAAACCGGCGTTTTCAATGGGTATGTGGCACGTCTGCAACAAAGGATGCACAAAGGAAGCCTTACATGGGTATCATCATACATGTTCAGATAGTAAATACGCTACTCTACAACTTTTCAAGCAAAATCTTTGCGCCCGCGTTTCCTCTAGGAGCGCTGTCCGATTTATCACCCTTCTTCTGCTTCTTGCCCTTTGATTCCCCATTTTGTGCACCTGGAGGATTGGCAGCCGCCTCGAGTGCCTTCTTCTCCTTCTTCAGCGCCTTGAGTACCTCGTCCTTCTTTCCAAAGCCTTCGGCTTCTGTCAGGGCAACCACCACAAAAGATCCCTGGCCAGTCGCCCAGTCCACAATGTTGGTCTTAATCTGAGGCCAGAGCAAGTCTGCGAAACCAAGTGCAGGTTCTACAGGGATGACCTTCTTGGTGACAGGGTCGAATTTGCCACCTTGCACCAGCATCTTCAACATGTTCTTTCCGTGGCTGGTAGCCTTGTTGTCGCCAGCGGAGGCAGGAAGAGCAGAGTCCAATATCGATTGGGAGAGGCGGGCGACCTCTGCCAATGCCTCTTTGCGCTTCGCTGGCTCCACCTCTGGAGCTCCAACGAGGACCTCACCCATAAACTGCAAGCCGAATGTGAATGAGGCAAAGTCTGCAGCGCGAGCTGTGACTGCGGTCAGTAGCTGCGGTTCAATGTTCTTTGCAATCTCTTGTAGACGGATGTTGGGGTCCTTCTTTGATGTAGTCTGACGGATGGCGTACAACTCATTCAGTCGCTCACGTGTGTTGTCGTCTAATAGCCATTTCGCATCCCCAACGAATGGATATAATAAGACTGTGCGTGCACGAGCATCATTGACAAGGTTCAACACCTTTTCGGGGAGAGCGTCGTTGCTTGGTAGAAGCTCACTGAAGATGGATTTGGCCGAAAGCTTGGTATCGTCAGTGACTGCCATGGCAGCAAGCAGAACGTGATGAGCGTGTTGGTCAAAGGCCATTGTCTCGACTGTGTCTTTGTACGGTCGCAGGAAGAGCTTGCGGTCCTTGGCAGTTCCATATGCGAAGCAAAGTGACATCAGCCGCGATCCTGATTTTGTGAAAGCAAGGTTCTTCAAGAGATCCACGTTATCGGCCTCTTCACCCTCCTTGGTTGTTGGATCCGGCTTGAGATGTTCAAGGAAGTCACTCGCTTGTTCAGTGCCGGGCTCGCAGACTAGGAAGTACTGCAACATAGCGTCGTGCAGCATGGTGAAGCCGGTGAGCTTCTTCTGGATGAGGGAGTTGATCTGGTTCTCCAGGTAGCCCATGATGGGCTTCCTCTTGTCTGGGGAATCTTTGAGAATGGCCGATAGCTCTGCGCTGTCCGTACCCTCGGGAGATAGACCCTTGATTGAGAACTCAGGCCCATACCATTCCCGGAGAAGACGGTTCTTCTGCTCTGGTGTGGCTACAGCTCGGTAAATGTCATCTACTATCCATGCGGCTTCGGGGTGGTTGATCATGCGCTTGACGTGGCTGTAGAACTCGGTGATTACCAGGTCGCGGATTTCAGGGTCACTAAATTCGGTTAGATGCGCGATGCAGTCGTCTATGATGGTTGTGCTTACCCCTTCTCCACCAGCTTGGCAATCAAGAACTTGGAGTACTTGCCCTCGGCCAAGACCTTGAACTCTCCCTTCAACTCCCTGGCAATCATGCGCCTCTGCTCCATTGTTGAGTACTTGATCGCCGTCTGGATGACACGCACTGAGTCATGCTTGAAGACGAAGTCCTTGACCCTGCCGGTAATGATTTCGAACAGCTCCTTGACGAGCCCTTTCCTCTCCTCCTTGTCGACGTGCGACTTCAGCCTCAGTTTCTCCCAAAGCTTCTTGGATCGCTCGATGATGTCGGCGTTCGGCTTCGCGGCTTTTCGTTCTCTGGCGAGAGCCTTTTGTTTCGCATGCGCTTCTCGCGAGTTGGTTGCTGGAAGAACAATTAGCAAGAAACCATAGAATAGACACACTGCTGTAATTTACAGTTGAGACCCGCCAACTTGGACTCTGCCGCATCGCTTGTGGGCTTCTTCGATGGTTCCTTCTGCGCCTTGCCGTTGGGCTTTGCTGATTCCTCGCTGCTTTCGGCGTCGCTCATGTCGACATCGGCACCATCAGCCGCGGAAAAGCCGTAGAATCCATTGTCCTGCTCGCTGGTATCGGACTCCTCGATGTCAGAGCTCTCTTCCTTGGCCTTCTTTGCCTTCTTAACCGGCTTGACGTCGTGCTTCGCCTCGCGCTTCGTGGTGGGCTTGTCGACCTTGACCTTTTTGCTCTTGTCTTTAACTTCAGGCGCGCCTGCGCCCGCGGATTTGCGTTTGATTCCGGCCATTGTAAATTGTGGTTGTTGTGTCGCAATCCTCAAGCTCGGGATCGCAAAAGTTCGCGACTTCCTGAACTTTTTCTGACCAGGGTTCTGCTTCTCACTTAGCCTGATCAAGACTAGCTCGAACCATGTCCCACATGCGCGCGCCGCCTCTCTCCATCTCATATCCACTCGCAACCTGCTGCACTGCACGTTTCCTAGATCTCTGCTCTTATCGACACAGCTAACGAGTTTATGCTTTCAACCAGACTCACAATTTCAGAACTGATCGGAGCACTGATGAAGAAAGCAGATATCGAGTTCACCATACCCTGAGGTCCACACATGGCGTTCTACCTTGAAAGATCTTTCCAGACAGTAACATTGTATACCTTTCACGAGGGCTTGATAAATGTACAGCTCAACCGAAACGCGCTTCTTCGCTTACCTGGCACGCTGGCTACGACCTATGACGAGAACAACTACGCGTTGCACGGCGGACTTGCCGTTTCCACACATTCTGTCATTGCATGCTCATCAGCTGCTTGACACATTCTTGCCTGGTTACCTATTGCGCCAGACAACACACTCTGGCGTGCTTGCTCGTAGCCCGGATATGCTTATTGTTCCTGTGCGCACGACATTCATCCGTCAAATTACAGCATACGCGTCTCTTTACCCAGGAACCCGGTTGGGCCACTGAAATTGGCTCATCTATGTTCAAGTCACTCTGCAGGAATTACCGCGATGTTGTTGTGATTGATAAACAGTTTATCTGTGATCTGTTCGGTCGTTCTACAGCATGACCGGTGCTGTCAAAAACTTGCATCCTTACTTCTCGGAGTACGTCTTGTTACATATTAATTGCAACATCCTTGCGCCCGACACAGGCTTCTCCGCAGTTTCCTGGATGGCCATTCTCCAATTATCCTATGATGGCGCTTTCTTGATGCGTACCAGGCTTCGGCTAATTGCTTGACAAACGCTTAAGTCTACATCTCCGGGCATACATACATCGCATAAGGCGAAAATTTGACATCGGTAGGATCGAAAGCGGATTCTATCGTTCTCTTGACATTGACCATTTGGGCAATGCGAGTTGTTCGGCCAGAACTATATCAAGCATTGCCTGAGCTCAAAGTATCCCACTTGAGCAAGAGCCCTACTCAGTATAATAAATGAGGACGCTGCACCACGGGTCGAATCTTTGACCGCTACAAGGATGAACGGTTAACCAGGCCTCTGCTAAAGAATCTAGAGACACTCGATTCAGCTTCGAAGATCCGCATGGCCGAGTGAGATCTTCTGGAAAGTAGCATGACACACAGCCAATCTTCACGGCCAGGCGCCTATGCCCAGGGTCTACATGGTAGAGAGTATACGACTAATGTATTAAGATTTGAGGTGTGTGATCTTCGAGAGTATTGGTCCAGATTTCGTTACACGCCCACTTTCTCGGGAGATCATCAGGTTCCTGGCTATCCAAATCCTGGAAGAGGAGTCTGGCCGCAGGCCCAATGCAGCAACCCAGGTTTTCATACCGACATCAGCGTACCCTGTGGTGCATTTCCAGACCTTTGTGGAGATTGGCTTCATATCGATCTTTGCTAGAGCCAGGAGAAACGGATGACATACTGTGTCTCTCTCACTGGGCCTGCATAGCTTTTCGGGCTAGTTGACGACATGCGTGCTTGGAATCAGCAAGAGTGTTGAGCGTTTGTGATATCGAATTTACGCCGGGCAATACTACTGCTGGCAGCTGCGATTTAACCGGGAGTTGTCGTAGACACCCTGGATACAAAAGATTTCATATCACACATTGGAGTTTCGAATACGTATAAAGCCAGCAGTGTTTGCATCTTGTGCTCAGCGTCAGTTTCAGTCTACATTTCAGATACCTATCAATCTCGGAAAAGAAACGGCATCATGAAGTTTTCGACTGTTCTTTATGTGATGGGAATGACTAGGTACAACTCAGCTCTTCATTGTTATTCAAGAGCGTGATTGACAGATCGGTAGCCTTGTATCGGCCGCTCCCCAGGACGATGACGACGAGCCAGAAGTCCCTTCATTCCCCAGCTTCTCCCGCCAGCCTGTACCAAGCTTCTCGCGCGGCCCTCTCCCAAGCTTCAGTCTTCCTACAGCCCTTCCTCCCTTTCCGACCGGACCTGCGGCACCACCTCGCCCTACCGGAGGGTTTCCTCCTCGTCCCTCAGTCAGCCGCGGCCCAGTTCCCAGCTTCTCGCGCACGCCGTAAGTATTTTGACGGCTCGTTATGGAATCGGTTGTACTGATATCGGGATCAGTCGCCCAACAGCAACCCGCTCTTTCGTAATCTCAGTCCGCCCAACTCCGTCTCCTCGTCCTTCTCGCTCGGCCGTTCCTGTGCCATCTCCTCCCACTAGGCCCTCTCGCAGCGTTGGCCTACCGTTTCCTCCACGCCCCACTCCTACTCCTGGTGACGACGACGATGACGACGACGAGGATGATTCTTCATAGAGGAGAGGAGCGTCTTGATGCGTACTAGTGGATATCTAGCGGTGAATGTACCGTCAATATTGTGTGCAGTAGGCTACCTGAATAGGCCAGTAGTATGTCTCCATAGCGATGCGCTCTGTCATTACCGCCTGAAGCATTGTAAATGAATCTCCATAGCAAGCTTCAGATATTCTTTCCAGCATCAATCATGTGCGAGATACTAGTGACTGTTACCAAAGCATTCTCACATGAGGTCAATCGGCGAGCGACGAAATGAAAGCATTTGTAGTTCATGCACCATGCGATTTTTAGAAGTTGGACCATCCCACAACGAACAGGTTGCGCATACGTTTGTTACATGTGTGTGCATTTAGTAAAAAAAAAAAAAAGAATAAGTCTTCTGCTACTAAGCAGACGGAGAGTAGATACCGTATAGTGTGCTCACAACGGCAAAAAAAGAAACCTGGGGTATCTGACTGCAGCCAGACGAATACTGATGAGAGTGGGACTCGAACCCACGCCACTTTCGTGACCAGGAATATGTGTTAAGATAACCTTAACCTGGCGCCATAACCAACTCGGCCATCTCACCTAGGTGATTTTGATGGATGGTTGATCGCAATATTTATATATTCACCGCTATGTCAGACGGTCGGCCGTAATATTCAAAAGTGCGGGGTAGCCAGGTCGTTGCATCTGGCGAAACTATTAGATCACGGCAACACCATCAGTCAATCAAAACGAGTCTAGTCAGTCGAATCATGTGCAGACGTAGTTTAAACAAGGATTCACGGCAATAGTTGTTACTTTGTCAGAGTGTTCGGCAGATATGCAGCATGAATGAAGTGTTTCAGTGCGCTCATACAGTACAACACGCAGTGCCCCACATGCTATTTCATCTACTATATCTCACTACCAATATACTCACTGATACGATGCAAGCTATCGATCGATCACTCCAGCGATTCTGATTGGTTTAGTTGTAATGTCGACAAGATGGGGCGTTGTGCTGCCTTCGGCTTATGCATGTGCTCAAATGCGCATCTGCGTGCAGTGACCGACGGTGATTTTTCTTACTCGAACCGGTAATTCGACGACCACTTGGCTCAAGTCTTATGCATACACCTCATACAAGGGGAAACCTCAACATTGGTAGGAATGACAAGTACTTTGTTGCGATAACAAGTCCTTTGTAGGCGACATATTAGGATGCTCTAGTACCGTCGCGAAAGCTAGACTTGGCTAGAGGCATTGTAATGTCAAGCACGGGCCTAGCGCCACACTGCTGCGCCTCGCGTTGACGCACGATTTCACCGCCATACTCCACAGCCAGCCTCCCCTGCATCCCGCCAGCTAGCATGAGCTTCGTGAAGCATACATCCCCGCATTGAGATGGGCGCGCGCAAATGCAGCCTTCGCTTGCGGTAGACCGCCATGACGTATTGGCCTATCTCGTCGCCCTCCGTCTTCGCGGCCACTAAACGTACGGATCCCGGGCGCGCGCACAACTCACACGATGGCGCCGAACACCAGCAACCAGGCGAACAAGATGCCGACAAACCATCGCAGACGCATCCTGGAGATGGGGCGTCTGCGCAAAGTAAGAGTGAGGTAGAGGACAAGAATGGCGCGTCGGTAGAAGACGACATACATGGCACCATCATTGCCATCAGAGTGACCAGGAGTGGGCACATGTTTGCGACCCTCACCAGAACAACGCTCACGGTCTGGCAGACAAAGGCATGTCCCATTGCCAGCGTGACGCCTCAGGTGCTAACTCTTCGTAGCCTACGATTGTTCTAGCTTCAGTACTGCGTTCAGAGCAATCCGTCCGAACATACGGCCCCAACACCGACGTCCTACTGCGCCCTGACTCCCAGATCTTCGTCGTGCAGACCACGCTCGGCTTCCTCATCACGTACTCGCTCGCGACAGACCACTCGTCCCGCATCTACCAGGCTCAATTCACCAACACGCACGGGGGCCACACCAGGAGAAGCAGTGCAATCACTGGCTTTAAGATTCAGCGTCAGCACGATGTCAATGCGGGGCCAGGAGAAGGCAGCGGCTTGAAAGAGCTTAGCCTACGCTTTCGGATGGTCATACGGGTCGATGCTGGCATCATCAGGGCTCTGGCTCTGGACGATGAATTGATTGTCGCAACTGGGAAGCCTGCTGCTGTACAATGTATTCGTTGGGCGCCAGACAGCACTGGTAGCCAAACAAGCACCGAACTACTGGCAAAGATGTCATGGTTGGGAAACAATGCATCGCTGCGTGAAATGGTCCATGATCGGCCTATGAACCTATCGTGTTGGATCACAGGCGACGGACGAGCCTTTGCAGTCCAAAAAGCGGCTCGAAAAGACGCCGTTGCTCCCAGTCTCTTCCGTGGCTATGGTTTCCATACACCCGAAACAGATGCTGATCACGGCGTGAAAGCTGCAATCAATGCAAGGTTTTCATTACTTGCTGTTGGCTGCGCCAGTGGTGAAATCTATGTTTACACCGCACGCGACTACACTGGCAACATTCCCCTGTCTCATAAGCTACGACCGAACGTTACATCCCCCGGAAAGATGACTGTCTTGACTTACTCGCCAGATGGATACTGTCTTTTTGCTGGCTACGAACGCGGCTGGGCAATGTGGAGTGTATACGGAAAGCCTGGAGCAACGAGCTTCACAGCAGAAAGAACACTTTCCAAGACAAACAACGAAGAATGGCTTCTAAGCGTCAAAGAAGCATTCTGGATCGGGGGTGGCGCAGAACTGTTAATGTTGAGCAACGACGACAATCGTCTCTTTGTATTAGAGATGGCTCGAAGTGCAGTAACCGGCTGCTTCTCCTCGGCTAACGTATCACGGTCTTTGATGCAGACAAGCACCGGCTTCATGATCTACCGTGGTTACGACTTGCCAGACTTGACGACGATCTCTGCCGATGTTTCTCTGTGGCATCATGTTCAGATTCCTTCGGCCTACCTTGTCGACCAATGGCCAATTAGAAGTGCGGTCATCTCAAACGATGGTCGGTATGTGGCGATAGCGGGCAAGAGAGGGCTTGCACACTACAGTGTAAACAGCGGGCGTTGGAAGATGTTCGACGACCCTTTCATAGAGAACGAGTTCACAGTTCGAGGGGGTATGTGCTGGTTTCAGCATGTTCTGATTGCAGCGATCGAATGTCGCGATTCCCATGAGGTATGCTTGTCATCTATTTGCCTTTTCGTCGAAACTGACATGGTGTTTTCAAGGTTCGCGTGTACTCACGTGAGGCAGCGCTCGATAATAGCCACATCATGCATACACAGAAGCTACCTGCGCCCATTGTCCTCATTGCACCTTCTGGCGAAGATTCACTTCTCGTCTACACCTACGAGAACATATTATATCACTACGTTATTAGTGTTTCAGATGCAAGCGTAAAGTTGGTACAAGTTGGTCAAATCGCGCTGCACGGTATCATCCGTGCACCTACTCGAGTGCGAGCACTTAGCTGGATATTACCAGAGGACCAGATCCGTAAGTGCTCAAAATCTGTCACTACAAATTTGCTAACAACTTACAGACAATGGCGATCCATCACAAGATGTCGCTGTCGCCACTATCCTGTTCCTAGTGGATGGCAAACTCGTGCTTCTCCAACCGACGACAACCGAAAGTGGCGACCTCAAGTACGAAATGCGCATCATCGCGCAGAATGTAGAGACGTATGCTCTCATGCGCGACCACCCTGCTTTCGCATTGGATCGGCATGCCGATTCGTTACCGGCGAGTCCGTCCATGGAACTGACGATGGAAGGGGTACACGGTCACGATCTCCGTGACTCACTCTGGTTTTTTGATGGTCACGACATGCGAGTTTGGATAGATATGCAGGATGTTCTTGCTTCCGCTTCACCAGAAATTGGTCGAGAACTCCCAACACCTGTTCAGATTCCTGTCGACTTTTATCCTCTCTCGGCATTGATCAACAAAGCGATCATATTCGGTGTGGAGTCGGAGTTGATCCAACGTAGGGATACAAACTTTGCCTTCCTGCGTTTCGGCACTAGAGTAAGCTGTCGCGCCCTGCTCCGCGCCTAATAGCCGGCTCGTCAATCTTATGCTGACACACATGCTAGACACACCTCTTTCTTCCCGCACTGCTGCGGTCCCACTTGGCGCAATTCAATCACCCCGCAGCCTTACATCTTAGCCACCATTATCAGCACTTGCTTTACTTCCCCCATGCTCTAGAAATCTTACTGCATGAAGTCCTGGACGAGGAGGTGGATACCCAGCCACCACCCGAGCAAGCGCTATTGCCAAGTGTGCTATCGTTCCTGAGCTCTTTTCCTCGATATCTCGACATCGTTGTGCAATGTACCCGCAAAACCGAGGTGCGTTCATGGCGGACGTTGTTTTCAAACTTGCCTCCACCGGAAGAACTATTTGAAGAATCACTGCAGAAAGGGAATCTGAAGACCGCTGGTGGTTATCTGCTGGTCCTCCATACATTTGAAGAATTGCGGCCAACAGGCGATCAAGTTGTCCGCCTACTCCAACGTGCCAAAGATGAACAAGATTGGGAGCTATGCAAGGAACTTGCGCGCTTTCTCATGGCTCTTGACGAGTCTGGTGCAACATTGCGAAGTACCTTGGAGCTTGTGGAGCTGAAGACTCCGTCAGCAGAGCCAGGCCTTGGCCAGTCACATTTTACGTTCGACACTGCCCGACTAAATGTACCCTTGCGCAGTCGCAATAACGGGACTAGGTCGTTGGGCGGACCAGGCGTCGATTTTGGGTCCGACGGCGCTGGCAGGACCTCACGGGAGAATGGCGACATTAGTCCTGGTGTGAGTGACGTGAGTGCTAGTAGTGATACAAGCCCTTCACAAGTACCGGGGGACTACTTTGGCCTTGGCATGAACAGTTTGCGCCAGTAGTTGTACTGGGACATTGAGATAGTTTCATTGATGTAGTTGTATAATTTTTCACAAGCGTTCCTCTATACTCAATGCTGCCATACTCACAACAGCAACATTAAGCGACCAAGGTACTCAGGGCGCGGTAGACCATCCGACGGTCCCAAGTTCCTGGTCTGGTCCTGCTCCTTCAGACCCCAAGCCATGCAGGAGGGTCGTATTGGCCCCACAGGGCTGCTTACAGGACCTCACGACGGGCTGGAGAAGCATGGCGATTGGTGATGGCGACCGGCCTACCTCCGTCTACCGTATCTTTCACAGGCTTCCGAAGTATGGCGTGCCCATGTAGCTGGTACACTTGTAAGCGAAACGCTTAAATTGTGGTAGCATTTGTGGCCTCTGTATCTCCGTCCAACGTAGTATCGCTTGATTTCTTGTGTCTTGTAGTTCAAAGGTACGTAGCTGAGCTAAGCCGTTTCAATAGACCAAGATGCCATGGCAGATGGTTTCATGTCTGCTACTGAACCAAGGTTTGGCCAGGTCTGCGACAACAAGGTTGGCGGTCGCTTGGAAGATGTGGTGTAATCGCCCGGGCGGTGAGATGCGCGTGGTCTTCCCTCTGTTTCCACGGCTTGGTGGTCAGCTACAGCACGTGTGAAGCAGCATCCAATGGACTGTGGTCTTGCCACAAGGCAATCGCTGCAGATAGGGGTCCCTCTCATCGTTGGAAAAACGGATAGGGCGCAAATACACCAATGTGCCCTCCCATGGGCAATGCGCACATGGTGACAAACATCTGCGTCCGACGTGACGTATCCATCAAGACATTGATGAAGCCTCGAAAACCCCATGTCTCCATGATATCTCGTCTCCATCGCATCCCGCGCTGAAGGGAGTGCCAGTGCAATGGGCCGGCTTTCAGGCAACCAGCAATCCCTCCATCCCCGGCGCGCTGGCCTCCTGTTCGCTCTTCAATGTAAAGACGGCAAAACACAGCCACGGCTGCCTCACCGTATTCTCACGTTGCTGCGCATGCTCAACACACGCTTTATGACGCACAATTGCTTGCTCTCCGCTTCATACTGTGACACAGGGCTTTTGAACGGCCGGCATTGCGTCTGTTTTGAATCGACTCCCCGGCGGCAAGGCACACTGTCGCCAACCGCGTATATAATCGTCTGGCCCCATTACCCTCAGCCCTATCCGAACCGATCGATCATCTCTCCTCTGCACTAGGAATGACCAAGACACTTGGTTCATCGTATCGAACATCATCGCGCTTGCCAATCTATCCTGAGTATCGAGCTAGCTAAGACGACAACAATGACTGCCCCTCCAGCCGCACGACCGCTGTTCTCCACCGCCCACTCCATGCCATTCGCCTATCCTTCACCAGCATCCACTATTGCATCGGACACGAGCTACTTGCATTGTAACGTAATGTCACCTCGGCAGGAATTCAATGGTAAGCGTACCTTTTTCGTGTTGTCGAATATACCGGTTGCGCGTACCACATGCAGAGGCGCTCTTGCTGCCGAGGTCCACTGCTTGCCTGCTGCACCTACACAGATGGTGTAACGCGATCACCAATGTCAACGACCGTCTTTACTGCCATGACTAGCTCACTCCAGCGATACATCATGCTAAGATGAAGCAGATATCACATACTCGCGGAAGTCAGTGAGCTCTTCGCCGACAGCGCAGTCAGCCGGCAGTGGAGGTTTCCAATGGATTACCGGCAACAAGCCGGACGACTTCAAAACCAAGCATGTTATGCAGAAAGTGCGTCAAACTGCTATGGGCAGTTATCTGCAAGGCGCAAGGAGCCAGGCAAGCAACAAATCCAGATCTAACAGTGAAGCCTCGGACAAGTCTCAATCGAGTGTTGGCGATCAAGGCGCAACGAAAACCCGGCCTACGAAGACACCAAAAGGCAAAGGAAAGACTGATAGCGAGAAGAAGGGTTTGGTACCTAACAAGCAAGTCCGGCCTAACAGCAACGTCCAGGGCACCTCGGATCCTGGTTCACAAATTGCACGCCAATCCACCCTTCCTAGGAGACCTATCGTTGTCCCGATAATGGAACAAATGAGAGGACATTATCCATTCGACCTATGTCCGGTACCGGAGCTTTACTCCTTAGGAAAGGGTCTAGATCCTTTCGGCACCATGTTCCAGTCAAGAGACGCGCGCGTCAATGTCGAGGGATTGAAGTTCCAATGCGCCAGCTACTTCGGTACAGAAGGTCTGGGAAAATACTGGATTCCGCTATGCCTAAGCTACCCGCATGCCTTCCTGAGTACCCTCTACATGGCTTCTGCGTTCAAAGACGTCATTGAGAACAGCAGAGTAGAGAGTTTGGAAACGGCAGCACTGCGCCAAGATGTTATACATTTTGTGAGCGAACATCTTACTAACAGGGAGCAGTGTGTGGCGGACCACAACATTATAGCAGTCAGTCAGCTGATACTGGGAAACGTCATTACCCGGATGGATGCAGGTTTGACCTTCCACCAGAATGGAATCGAGACTATGATCAAGCAGCGTGGTGGGCTCAGTAAGCTGGGTGTACATGGACAACTGGCATCCGCAGTTTCTTGGGCCAACCTTGCGATTGCTATTCTGCGGGAAAAGGAACCTACTCAGATGTATGTCGAGTACTGTACTATTCACTCGGCAAAGAAATACGCTCGGGACATTGTGATACCAGAATCACCACTTTACCGGCCTCATGACAGATACGTAACGCTTGAACATGCGACCAAATGTACACGAAGAGCGCAAAAGCTCTTAGATGAGGTCTACGCGATGATAGAGCTATTTCTCGAAACTCAGCGCTCGAATCGCCAGGGTAACGCTTCCAAGCTGAGAAATTATTACAACTCTATCAATCAGTACCCACCTGGTTCAAAGGGGGATGGTTGGAGGTACGAAGCGATCCGCCTCACCGCTCGCGTCCAAGCTCAAGCTATCATCGATCAAGTCCCACTGTCAGAGGCACTCAAAAGGGTGCAATCGTCTGAGACACAACCGGCCATGTACAGTTCCTCGATAGCCTCGCGTTCCAATGATTCGATCTCTTCAACACTTGAATTCCAACAAGTGACTCCGGTTACTGAAAGTTCTGAGAGTCCTAACTTTGCCCCGTATAACGGAATGAACCCACAACAACAAGTCGGCTTTCCTTTCAACCACCGGGATTCAACCTCCTCGACATATTCACAACGTCCTTCGCCTTTGTCGATACAATCGAGTTCATCAGCGATATCTCCTCAATTATGGATCTCTACATCCAGATCCGGTAGACCTACCATACTCCAACAGCTTCGAGACGCCCTCGAAAAATCCGATCTTTCAGAGTGCTGGTCCGACATGGCTGGTGTGCTGCTATGGATTGGACTGGTCATGGGAGCAGCAAGTAACGAAAACGAGGACAAGGTCTTAGCAAGATACTTTTCTGCGACAACCATGAGAGCATGTATCATGCTCTGCTTCGAGCATCCCGAAGCAGTACATTCTACCATGCTGAAAATGACCGACATCGTTGGAGCGTTGGACAAGAAGCCTGTTGATGCACAACTGGCCAGAAAAGACAGCGCCATTTCAAGAAAGCGAGCGAAGGCATAAAGAGCTATGAAGAGAACAGTTCAGAAAAAGTCGAGGTTGCGATAAGCTTTCTCCACAGTGGCGATGTCTTTCGGCGAAGCCGGTTGATCCACATCGATACGATATCCGTGCACGTATAAGGCTGTAAGGCTTAGACTGCAAGGCTTAGGCTGCAGGCTGACATGAAGCTGCCTCATGATTCTCTCATCTCAAAATCTTCAGCGACTGCCAGGGCGTCAGGTTCTCTTTTTGATCATATGTATATATTTCTGCCTTCACTGTACCATAGCATTGCGGGATTGAGCATCGGTGTTGGGGTGTCAGGCGTTCGTCATCTTCGCAAAGGCGAATCTTCGGAGTGATATGTTGAATGAAGGCATTGTCATCGGTTACCACACATCACTGTGATCATACAGCATTGCACTAGGGTCTTCTATAGTTCCATGACTTGAACATGTCCTATTATGGTTTCTGTGAGAGCCCGAACCCTGATCTATGTGTGCTCATGCCTTCATTCCTCATTTCTGCATTCCAACTGGTATACCCGTCCCGTCTTCGTAGCTACGCCAGACAGGGGGACCCTAACCCTTAGTAACCTTCTTGACGGTACCATCTTCATCAACATGGACGTTCAACCTCTCGGGCTGGAAGTCCATGGTTTGCATCGAGTCGGGCTTGAGGACGCGGTGTTGTTGGGGAAGATCGGTCTTCGCGAAGGTCTGATTGTAAAAGAAGTCAGCGCTAACATCTAGGCTGAGTAGAATGTAGTGCGATCTTGGACTACGCAGTGTGGGAGAGGAAGATCGAAGGAGGGAAGAAGCGGACGTACCATCTCATCGTGCTGGTCACCAAGCTTCTTGCCCATGAGCTTGCTCATCCAGTCATCACCAGAGTTTCCGTCCTTTGACTGCAGACCGGGGACTACGAGAGGCATGTTGTGTGATGTTGTTGAGATGGTGTAGTGTTTGTGTATGTGTATGTTTTTGGTCGCGCGTAGTTTCGAAAGACGTGTTATCGTGAAGGTCAGTCGTGTCTAGATGGTTTAGTTACTTGAGAGGATAGCGGGGTAAGGAGGGACGCGGTACTTATGCAAGTAGACCCTGGCTGACACTTGTGTGAACTAACTTGTTTGTTTGAGCTTTGCGTGTCACCAGGCTGCAAGATGGGTTATGGTGGTGCTTGGGGAAGGCTGACGTCATCCGTGTCTAGCCGCGTAAGTGGGGTTGTGTAATGTTTCTAGAGCGCGGGATTGGCATGTGTCGGCCTGCTATAGCTTCGGTGTCTTATCTTCCACTAATTGGAGGTAGTGTAAGCGTGTGAAAGTAGAGATTATGGAGCAGCATTATCGACGGTTACGTGTCTCATCACTGATGCAAGGCGATATGCAAAGTCTGACATAGGGTGATGCGAGATTGACAGAGCCTCAGCGAAACTTCCCTAAGAGGCGAAGGGAAGACACGCATATCTCCAAAATTGTAGGGCAATGGATGATGCGATTTGACCTTGCCTTGCTGACGTAGCAGCAACGGATATAGGATACGTAGTCTATGTCTCAGTTTCCTGTTCCGCTCTAGAGTGCTCGAAGTGATCCAAAGACTACGCTGACCGATCACAAACCAGTTCTCGTTTATTTGCCGTCGCGCATGTTGCGGAAGAAGTCCATGACACCGGTGAAGACAACTAAGAGGATACCACCTCCGGGGCCCAGTCTCAGCACCTTGGGCAAGAAACCCTTGTAAAGCGCACCAAAACCTTCCTCCTTCATGACTGTACCAAGAGCCGGCCATGCCCAGTTGTACTTGGGTACTGATCCCGCGACCTTGGGGGAGTTCTGGATGCGCGACTTGACAACGTCCATTGGGGTGTTGAGAATGGTACCGACAGTACCACCGATAGCACCAGACATGAGGTCGTTGGTGATCTGGCTCTTCTTGGTGGTTGCTGCGGGCAAGAGCGCGCGGACCTGGAAGATGCAGCCAAAGTATCCAGCATTCCACAGAATGTGCCTCCACATGGTCGACTCAAGACCTTGGTAGAGGGTGAGAGGACCTTCCTGCTTGACAATCTTTGTGACACAGTCCACCATGCCGTTGTACTTGTGGGCTTGCGCCTTGTCTTGTAACCGGATCTTGACGAGCTCGAAGGGGACGACGACAAAGGCTTCGGTGGCACCTGCGGTTGCGCCAGTGAGGATAGAGAGAGACTGGTTCATCTTGGATTGGCCGAACAGGTTGCGGTAGAAGGAGCCCCATGAGTCATTGGCTGCGAACTTGGTGGCCCTGTGTCGCGTGAGACGAGTCCTTTTACACACTAGACAGGCAAGTAGGAAAGTATGCGTACCTCTTGGGGGCTTCCATAAGGATAGGCGCGGTGATACCGCGGTACAATCTTGAAGCACTGCCAGACGTCAGCCCCTCTTGCTCATGATCGCAAGAGTGTCATAGCGCGTACCCCTCATTCTTGATGATCTTCCTGAAGCAGTCTACCATGCCATTGTAGCTATCTTCTCCTACAGACTTGCTGGTCTGAAGCTGTCTGCGAATATTTAGACGCGATTTAGGATTGGTCCTGTATGCGGTTGCTTACACTCGGGTCTTGACGACGTCCAGCGGGTACCTTGAGATGATGTTAGCGTCTCGAACTCGATGTCTGGACGTTGGAAGATGCCTACATGAGCAGAATCTACACACATGACTGCATCAGCACTGGCAGTCTCACGCGAGCATCTTCAAGAATGCGCACTCACTTCTGACACACCAGCCACGGCACCTGTACATGGTTAGCGCCAATTCGAAATCCTGAAGCTCAGTCCGGTCGCAAAGCTGCTCTGCTGCAAATTTGAGCGGAAGCGACATCGCATGGGAGCTTTGAGCGAGATGCGGAAATCCCTCGGATAGCCGTCGCATCGGAGCTGGGCGGTTTTAAGACAATTGGAACTTACCGGCCGCGAACTGGTAGACGAAAGGCAATGGCTTCGCATCGGCAGCAGACATGTTGGCGATAGTGCTGTTAGGGAACGGAGGGACCGAGGGGGAGTGAAAAGACAAGAGGGCTGCCGTTGAGTGAGCGTTTCCCGGTCGGCGCACACAATCTGGGGAAAGAGCCCAAGAGCGTGGGATGAATGTCCAAACTCCGCTTAGGCTTGGCCCTAGCTTCCCGTCTTCGGTTGACGCATTTTCGATTGGCGCAAAAGCACCCTGACGTGATCATAGTTTGATACGCGGAGCCGCCTTTGATGTGCCAAGTAATGTCAATTCAGTGACTGTACTGATTAGGCGGTCCAAGCAGATCAGGATGGTAGTTGGCAAGGGCTGAGCAGTTGTTACATGCAGATTCTCTATTGTTCAAGATAGCGTCTAGTCTGTTTGTGATGATGCAGCAAAAGCCCATCGCATTGTACTTGCTAAAGCTGATGCAAAATTGGGTTCAAGGTAGACGCAGGTCCCATCCGCGCTCGGAGCTGTATCGCGCGTCGCGGCGAGATGGCCGGTTTATCGCCACGTGATGACGAGCCCTCGCCTCGTTCATTGTGATTGGCCACTCACGACGCGTCTTCGCGTTCAACCCATTCCAGACGCTTACGCTACCTACCATCTCCATGTCCACGCGACAGAAGTCCTTCTTTGACCAGAACCAGAAGCCACAGGTACTTGAACAACCGACTGTATTCACTGCCGTCGCGTACTCATCTCTCATCTTCGTAGCACTATAAGGGCCAATGGAACCGCTCACGCAACTTCCCCCACCAGAACAGTAATCAGGCGGCGCCGCAGGCTCGGCAAGTAGTAACGGGGCCTCCAATTATGCCTTCGACCCAGACTCGTACCAAGCTCAAAGCCTTCGCGTTCGCCGAGGGCACGCCTACCGCCGATTCTTTTCTCAAACGACGCGACGCTGAGAAGGAGAACCGACCCGCCCCGCTAGCAAAGACGCCGAATCCTATGGGTACACCAAAGGCGAACAGAGTTGTGAAAGATGTAGCTGCTCCGAACAAAACTCCCAAACTCCCTACCATCTCAGATTGTCCGCCACCGTCAACACCTGCCACGACGAGGCTGCCGCTTGCCGACTTGGTAGGGAATGTCGACGATTCCTCGAGACACGCGCCCCAACCTGTTGCCTCACCCGAAGAGCAATTGATATGGAGAGGATCGCAAGCAATAAATACACCTTTTCCACGCAAGAACAAGAAGCGCGCTAGGAGTTCGTCACCCGTTGCACCGTCGCAAGAGGAACACAGGCTGGACGCGACCAGACAGGACATCACAACCCCTCAGGCTGACCCTGCCCTGGAGCTGTGGTCGCGATACACCAACAACAAGGGCACCCCAAGCGCCAACAAGAGCGTGGCATTCGCGCACCTCATCAACGAGTCATCCCCAAGATCGCAAGCTGCTGCTGGAAGCATCAGTGGGCTGCGGAGGTGGGCAAGCTGCGGCGTCGAGTTCCCAGCGTCGCATCGGAAAAGAAGAAGAACACATGGCGTGTTTCAACCGGACAAGGAAAGCACAGAGGACGTCTTCGCCGGTGCTTCTAGTTCAGATGGTATGATGCTCGGGCAACCAACGAAACCAAATCTTGCGAGTATGGTGCAGCGCATGCGAGAATGCGTCTCCAAATCACAAACACGCGTCTCTTCGTCAATGCCAGTAAGTTCTTCACCATTACCTGGGGCTGGAGATCGTCAAGACCCGTCGTCGGGCTCCCCTCTCCAGCGACGTGCACGAGAACGGCATGCGGATAGTTTCGAGACACTACAACACGATGCAGCACTTCTACATGGCACACTGGATATCGATGACGAGCCCGTACAAGCAAACGAACCAGTCGATGTGGTACAGAAGCCACAGGCGTCTCAAGAATCATCCGACGATTTTGGAGACGACTTCGATGCGGACATGGTGGATTCCCTGGACATAACGCCTCAACCTGCACCTGCCAATCCGCTTCCCCAGCAACACCCTGCGCCGGCTCCGACTTTACAACAAGGCAGTGATGACGACGAGTTTGGAATGGACGAT